CTAACAGGGAAGAAGCTCGACAGGCCCCCACCACACTTTACAACACTTTCATTGCCTGTATACAGGTTTGCTATTAATCCAACAATCCTTGTCGGAATTCCTCTTAGCCTCAGGATCTCCTAGAGTGATTCGCAATGCACCATATCAAACACCTTGAGGTCGATGTGGGTTGCTTGCAGCCCACATCCGAACTCACAATGGTGCTCTACAATGACTCGAAGCACCAGGATGCGGTCTATTATGGACTTACCAGGAGTGAATTCAGATTGCTCTGGCCTTTGGTGCCTCAGCAGGTGGTCTCTGATACGTCTCAGTAGGATGTGCGTGAGTGCCTTGCCTGGTATACTGAATAGTGTAATGCCTCGGTGATTACTGCAGTCCCACTGATCCCATTTCCCATTCCTGAGTGGGATGACCACACCCCTCAGCAGGTCAGGGGGAATGGTACCGGTCTGCCAGCTGGCATACAGGACTGCATGCAAGTCCCTTGCCATAGGTTCTCCACCAGCCTTTAACAATTCAGCTGGGATGCCACAAACGTCTGCTGCTTTACCACTCTTCAGCTTGGAAATCGCCCTCCTGACTTCAGTCAGGGAGGGTGGATCCTTGCTAATGGGAGGGTCTGGCACAGGAATCTCAACATTACCCGCATCCATGTTAACTCTTGGTGGATCAACCTGATACAACTGCTCAAAATACTCAGCCCAATGCACACACACCACATCAGGATCTGAGATTATCTGGCCACTTGCTGAGCGGACTGCAGTCGTCTGTGAGGAGGGCTTGGAGTTCAGCTTTCTCAAGGCTTGGTAGGCAGGGTGAAGTTTATTTACTAGGAAATGGCATTTGACCTCCTCTGCAAGATTCCTGATAAACTGTTCCTTATCCCTTCTCAAAAGTGACCTAGTCCTACGCACCAGAGAACGGCGCAAGTTGCGATCCCCTGACCCAAAGATATAAGCTTAAAGATATTTTAATGCAGAGCAACTGTAAAGACGACACCAAAAAATTCACCAGACAACAATACTAACCTTGAAGTTTGGAGATAGGAAGTTCTTGAGGAACCAAAATTTAACTGGGGCCTTTGTGTGGCGTCGGACAGACACCATCATGATCCTCAGGAAACGCTCGTACAGATGCCCAGACGCCACGGAGAAAATGTTCACCTTCTCAGTTTCATCCTCTTTGCCTCCACTTGAGCTGAAGGTGCTGAAGTTGTTG